GCCCACCCACCCTATGTTTGAGCATGCGCGGAACAACAAGGATTCGTAAAAGTTCAAGTGGAATCTCATGACACATGAAGCGGTTTCGAAAAACTTCTTCAAAACTTTCGAAACCTACCAAAAAGGTTATAAAGCCTTATGGGACTAGTTTGTGATTTTTAGCGTCCCAAAAACGGCTTCTTATTCTCTGCGTCTTGTTTATAAATGAGATATATGAAAAATCAATCACAAATATATTTGCGAATTGATTAGTCAATATGCGGCAGGCACACACTCGGACACATTCTTCGTTTTAACTCGCAGTGGGAGCTGACAGATCGGTACCTTGCGAGGCCCCCCCTTGAAGAGAACCGCACAGATCAGTCAGCAAGGATTGCACATTGAAGCGCCGCCTGGAAAAGGCAGGAAAACTGTGGTCGCCCCGCGAAGGGGCATCTGCAGGATTGCTTTCACTGCGAACACGCTCGAACCAGATCGCAAGATCACGCTCTTCTTCAGCCTGAAAGAGGCGGGAGAGAAGAGACTGCACGAAAGGGCAATCGGACTGTCCTCGGATGAGAGCCGCCAGTGAAGCTTCGTTGTCAACGAAGAGCACAATGTCACAGTGGCGTATGTTAGGGATTAGGGTGGCACCTAAAACCGCGGCAAGGGTTTCTAGCTCGTAGATCAAGGTAAGTTTACCATCAGGGTTGATGGTCTCAAGGTCCTTGGAGGTGACTAGTTCGCTAAACCAGGCAAGGCAAAGACCTTTAAAGTCGTAAACCAAACCACCAAGGCCACCCCCTTGATCGTCGTAGGAAGCGTCAGTGTACACGTGATACACCTGTCGCAGACTAGAGTCTACACACCTTGGTTTACCAAGAACTACACGGTCCCTCAAGAAAGTCAAGGAGGCCCTTAAGCTAGCGCCAACCACAAGTCTGCCGTGCTTTTGACAGAAGTGCGAAAGGTTGCGCATGTGAAGCGAAGCTGATCGTCCAAAGATTTGACTCTCGGCAAACAGAAGTCGCCCGCGTAGAGAGAGAAGCTCATTCTGGCCAACAAAGCCTCGGGTCAAGACCTCATCGATGGATGAACAAAGTTCGCGCTTGCGGGCCTCGGTGTTCTGGACTGAGATCAATCCATTCTTAGAATCAGCCAAGGATATTTGCACTCCTAAGACTTTGGCTACTGCATCAAAACCACTGTCTTTCTCTGAGGACGTTTCCCAGGCAACGATCCTGAAAAATGTTGATTGTACTAAGTCAAGATGTTTCTGCTCGTCGGACGAGCAGGGTAAGACAAAATCGTCAAAATACAGAGACCATGGCAGGATCAGGCTCCGGACTCCGATCCACCAGAGGCCGAAGGCAGTTCTGTAGAATCCCTGAACGGCCGGCTTGCTGCCGAAGGGCAGCACAACTGTCTGATATATCTCAATTTCCATGCTGTGAGGGTTAAGCACAGCTATGTAAGAATCATACAAAGCTTCAGTGCTTAAAGGAAGTTGTTTATAGGCTTTTGTGAGATCTATCGTGCGAAGGACAAGTTGCTCACGCTTGCCAAGCTTCCGAGCCGACCTAATGCGAAGACACAGTGCAGCGACCACAACGTCCACCCCGTGAGGGCAGATCGTCTCGCTAGCACTGTTTGTGAGATTAGCAAGGGATTCCGTGTAATCATCTATTGGTCTCACCTTCTTGATTGACCCGAGCTTGGCATCGGTGGAGGATTGTACTATCCCAAACCTTCTAGTGACTATGGCATCCGGGGGGATGTCCGACTCCTTAAAAGGTCCCTTAAGCCACCCTTTGGCAAGCTCATCCTTCGTAAGCTGGTAAACACTTTCAGCCACCTCACGGTCGAAACCTTCTTTGGTCGAGGTCAGGATGGCTTTCCTGGCAAGTGGAGTGGCTGCACGAACGTCCTCAACGGTAAGCGAGGCAGTGGAAACCTTAGAGGGAAGGACTCCAGATGCAGGTATGGGGCCTAGGAGATTAAACCCAGTTGAGATGTCCTTGGTCAAGGTTGTGTCCGGGTACTCGGCCTCGGTTAAGAGGGTTTTGAAGACTTTCATAGATTTCTTACCAAGAACGGCAGCACAGTGGTCGGGCATGTCGGTGGGATCTGCACAGGATTCCGCCTCCTCGGAGGTAAGCAACCACCTCCTCAACGTAGCAGTGCGTTCCCTGGCAAGGTCGGCAGACGACTCCTGGGCGCATCGCACAATGGTTTCCTTTAAAATCTTTGGCACACCGTTTTCGATACGCTTGGGGTGTAGGGCTCCACGAGCCTGTTTGACGAACTCTTCTGGGGTCCACGCGATGCCATAAGTTCGCTCCTCATGGGGGACTGCGACAGGAGAATGGCCATCGCCAGGCTTCGAGCAGGCATCAGGTAGGGTACCAGGTTTTAAGGAGTCAACCATAGGGGAGGAAGGGGCTAAACCCGAACTATCAGAACCAAGTTCTCGAGTAGCACTGCAGGGACCCCCAGCAGACGGCACAGTGCGAATCAGCTTGGCGTTCTTCGGTAGCCGCTTTAAAGAGGGCTTGCACGAGACTTTATCAGGAATGGCCCAATCCTCCGAGAGTTGATTCGAAGGCATAGCACAAGAGGGGCCAGTGACAGTGATGATGGACTTGTACTCGGAGACCAAAGGTGGAACACGCTTGCCTTTGGGTTGCTTCCCGGAGGCAACCTGAGCGGCTCTTGCCAACGGGAGCCCAAGCTCCTGAAGTTCTGCTGCAGGAAACCGGGCACCCTGGTGTTGCAATTCAACAGCAAAGGCCCTTGCTACCATGGCACAAAGCTGACTAGGGGATGCAGACAAAGGTAACACCGGATTTGGCGTTTTGCATCCCCCTCCACACGGAAAGCTAAGGCTTGACAGGGCAGGGAAGTTGTGAATAAGGCGCCGATGCTGACACAGCCCGTCGTGCACGAAGCAAGGACTGTAGTAGTGGGTGGAGATTGCGGACATGTACCTCGGAGATCACGAAGTTTCCAGAGGTTGGAGCTGCACGGGGCATCGAGGCAGCAAAGAAGACCATTGGCACAGCACTCCGTGTAAATGCTTACTGCAAGGTCACTGAAGTTGGAAGGAGGTGACATGTGCACAGCAAACATTATCCTTCGAAAGGATGTCGCGCAAGAGTGAAATGCCGCTGTCAGTGGAAAGGTCCAAAGGAACGACAGGGGCCCGAGTGTTTCGGGGATGACGCTTGATCGCGAAACCTTGCATGCCGAGGCTGCGCACAGCCGCACACACCCCACCATGCCTGGCAAAGATTTCAAGAAATGCTAAGTCACGCGAGCAATGACCAGAGATACGCAGTTTAACTCTGTCCAAGAAGGGTTGCACAGCTGGCGGGAGAGGTTCCAGCATAGGAGCACCGTCAGTACCACACTCAACGGAAGGCAAGGGTACACCCAAGGATACAAGAGCACTGCGACAAGCCAGAGGCATCGACTCGTGTTTAGCGACCGAAACCGTTAAACCCGACTACCACCACTCGAGACCCGAAAAAGGCATTGTGCAGTGTCTGTGTTTCCAAGCCTCGAAAGTGAGCTGACTGAGAGAAACTTCGTGTAGCTGTCCATGAAGCTGGGCACCTGAAGGATCGTTCATTGGATGAGGTCCCTCTCCCTCGATCCAAAGCTGGCCACCTGAAAAGGAGTTGACCCCAATCAACAGATTGGGCAGGTGAGCATTGTGGCTGTCGCGATGCAGAGCTGTCTGCGAGTCGACAAAGAGAGCAGCACTGGTGCACTCGAAAGAAGGACTGATGGCTCTGATGAAAGCAAAAAGCAGAGAAGACGCAAATGGAAAGGATTTTACATTAGATCGAAAGGCCGTGATGCCACCTTTGGAGTACAGGCCCGTGGTCCACGATTGACCGGCACTACCTAAATCCCGAGAAGGCTGAGGAGCATCGAAGGGAAGAAGTGTGGAAAGATGCAAGACGTCTTTGCGCGAAGGAGCGGTGCCAGATGTCAAGACACCCAGCGAAAATTCCTCGGCCGGATGTTTAACCTCGGCAGCAGCATCAACCTTGTCAGGCAGCAGAGGAAAAATGTCATCTAGAATGGGGATAGGGGAGCTTGCACAAGTAGCCGGTACCTTAGGTGCCTCGTCAGCGCAGGTCTCCCCAGACTCACGCGAGAGTCAAGAAGCAGAAGCTGCAGGGCATTCAAACTGGGGGTGAGGTTTCTCGCAACGCATGCACAAGTGAAGACCGAAGCGACAAGCTTTGCCAGCCTCAGCATGGCTGCACCCCCTGTCTTTAATGTTGTATGCCCAACAAAGCCGTTTGCCTTTTGAAGTCTTCTTCTTGAGGTTTGGAATGCTCTTGAGAGCATCAGGAAGCTGGGATTCCTTTCGAGGCTGGCCTTCGTTCGGAGTCCCTCTTGAGACCTTTATCAAGGCCCTTGCCATTGCCTTTATCCGGATTCGGGATCTTCTGAGGAGGATCAGGCGACCTCAAGGGAAGCAAGTTGAACAGGACAGCGGGGTCGGTGCGAAGACCCGGGAAGGCAGCATCAAGAGGCAACACGCCGGCACTATCCCTCTTAAGTTGTAATCGGTGGCCCGCTGTATCATTGTGGATGGGTCATCGGCTCTATGGTTGGTAGGGCCTTTGGTCCTCCTTTGATGGGCCTTTGGTCTTCAATTGCTGGGGCATTCCTAGACCCTGAACCTCACTGATCAGGCCAAGGAGCCTGGGAGCAATAGCAGCAAGATCTATGGAACAGCGCAATCTACGCAGGAGGACTGTCATTTTATCATCTTGCCAAAACCTGCCATCTCTGTGAGAAGCAACGTCGAGCGGCTGGCATTCGATGCTTTCATACTACCTTGCTTATAGACGTAGCTTCAGGATGAGGCGGAAATATCTACTGAACTTACCGCCTATGCCTATGCATGAGTATGAGCCATACGTTACCAGCAACCGTCTGCGCAGCACGTGAAAGGCAATGTACGAGTGCACATTCAAAAACCCCGGACCAGCACTGCCGTCTCACTTCTTTGCCTTCTTGGCGGAACCTTCTTTGTCGTTGTCGTGCTTGTGCTTTTTGTCACCCTTGTCCTTGTCCTTCTTTTTCTCTTTCTTCTCCTTCTTGATCTTGAGATCCTGCTTGCCATCACTTGGATTGCTCGGCGCAGTGGTCTTCGCCTTGAGCTCCGCCACTGCACGCTTCACCCTGGACGCAAGCTGAGCTGGCATTTTGTCAGCCACTCCCATCCTCGAAGCCACCTTTCCCGTCTCTTCCAAGGCAGGCAGCAGGTCATACTTTCCGGGGTGCAGCAGCAGCTCGGCAAAGGTCATCGAGACGTGGATCGTGGCCCCATGAAGGCCGGCCTCCTTGCAGAGAGGGATTTTTTCGAACCGTGGTGAGACAAATGTGCATCTGTCCCCAGAACGAAACATCACACGAACCAAACAGGAGCACGGTGCAGAAACAAAGTACATACGATGCAATTGTCAGTCTGTTGTTGTACGAAACAATATGATTCGCATGAGCTGTCCTTGATGTGCGTCACTGCATCACCAAGCTTTGCGAACAGCTGCAGCCACTCTTCGGGCCCAACCTGATGTCCACTCAGAGCAGCAAGCTCGGCGCACTCCTTCTGCGTAGCACCGGCGGTGTCTTGCAGCGAGTCCATATCCGTTTCGAAATTTGGAAGCGCAAGCAACTCCTCCATCGCAGCAGTATTCCAAGCTGCACTGGCCTCGAGAATCTTCCTTAGCAAGAAGAAAATAACATGCTTCGGAACCCAATCAAACTCAAACATACGTGCCCGGTCGCAGCCGCGGCACTCGTAGTTCTTCGACAGAGAACGAAGCGTCTCAAGGTTCATATTGCACGTCTCGAGCAAGTCCTCCAAGGAAGACTTGAAGTCGTTGAAGGCATTGTCCACCTTTCCTTGCTGGCCCGTGGCAGCCAACAGATCCGAATTCAGCTTGAAAGCAGCGACCGCAGCGTGGTATTGCTCGGCGGTCTGCTCAGCCGAAGGGATCTGCTGCTTCTCGACGTTCAAGATGACGCAGTCGAGCTGAAAAAGCACCTTTGACAGGTGCCCAACGCTGAGCAAGAAATCCTTCACGTCCGCCACGTAGGATCCATGTGATGGGAACTTGCTTTACACCACTGCTTGCATCTTCTCGATATCCGGCCTCTGCTCGAAGACCTTGGCCTTCGCACTTTCAAGACCGGCGCGCATCATGCGTGAGGCAAGATTGCGGAGAGGAGGCAACATCTTGCGGAAGAAATCAGGGACGCCTTCACAAGCGTCCAGGGACTTCTCACCCCATGTGTCCACCGTCGTGACATACTTCGACAGCTTCAGCATCAGGGTGTCGAGGTCCTTCGCCTCCTCCTCGCCATGCTTCAGCTCTCGCAATTGAGCCCATGCAGACATAAGGCCCTTAACAAGGGCGCGGTCATCGGCATCATTGAAATTCACGACTTGCAGCTGCAGCAATCCTGCAAACACCCAATCCTAAACTCCGAAACTGGGAACTGCAACAGGCACCCTGAAAGAGGCATGTTATTCGTTCACATCACTGATTGCTCGATAAATAAATGGTACTGTTACCGGCTACCGCTGAACTCAATGAAGACTAGGGTTCACAAAGGATGTCCAGCTTGCTCCCACGCGAAAGCCTTTGACTCAGACAGGGGCTCGAACATGAAGCCACTGTCAGGGCGGGTAAACTGGCCATCGCACCAGCTCACCAAATCATCAAGGTTGCCGATGCCCGCCGTCAGGGATGCAGCCAAAGACAAAGCCAATGAGGAAACTTTGGATAGCTGCGCTGCCAGCGATGTCCTCAGCTCCGTCACCGTATCCTCAGCCTCGCTTGGCAGATCACCCATCACCTTCTTGGTAACAGACAACGGCTTCAGGGAGATGCCGGGGGCAAGGTCATGATCTCGCAACGCGTCTTGAAGAAGAGACTCAAGACGCTGCATGTCTGCTTGGGCTTGCTGCCCCCGCTTCACGAGCTGCTCCTCTGAACATGCTTGCTGAGCACGTGCCACGGCAATCGACTGTGCTGTCCTGCAATGTTTTTAGCTGCTTGCTTACAACTGCCAACAACAAGATGTGTCAGTGTCCGACTATGGAACAAAATATGCCCGTGTTGGACCACCCTGCTTGAGGTTGGGGCTGGACCGCATTGCCAGCCGTAGTCGAGGACTTATCTTCCCGGACGCACCCACCAGCATCTTGATGTCTCCATCATTGATATCGGATCGCGGTTCACCCCCTGCTGCCTGCTGGGCCTGCACCCGTGCCAAGCACAGCAAGAAGGTGATGTCGAACACCAGCTGTGTCGACAAACCTGTTGCATTCTGCCAGATCTCTGGGTCAGGAGATCCAAGGGTCAATTTCTGGGAAGGCGCAAAGCTGGTCCTGGGGCCAAGAGTTGCGAAGTGGGTGGGTGGCAACAAATCAGAGTCTAACACGTCAACTTCTGGTCTTCTACGGCTTCAAACCTACTTGAAATTGCAGCCCCCACACACCAAGAAACAATCTCCTCGCAATTTGCGGCTGGTAAGCATCCGGAGGGAGGAGCTTCAGAAGGTCTTCGAACTGCAGGCCCTGACTGTTGCCTTTGTCCCTCACCATGCTGGTCAACAAGATGTTTTGGAAAGCACTGCTTTGAATCTGCAGGATGTCGTCCTCGCTGAACTTATCATCCCCAAAATCATACACGGTAAAGCAAATCCCAACAGTGTTCTTGCTGTAGCGCAGGAAGTCGATGAAGGTGCGGGACCCCTCCTGACGGCATGGACTACAACCGAACCCTGTGTTTCGCAGGTGATTGGGAGGTGTTTGGAGGGTGAATCTCGGGCTGCAGGAGGCTGACGTCGCATTGGGGATCGTCACCACACTCAACCGCTGAAGCCGATTTTACGGAAAATTACATAGAGCGCCCAGGCGCACTTTGTATTAAAATACTGTATTTTAATACAACCACGTAGCACTGCAGCCTCCGCGAATGAGTGAGTTCTAACTTTCATTGTTCATTGGGTATTATGCACTAGAGATCACACTCAACCGCTGAAGCCGATTCTCTGGAAAATTACATAGAGCGCCCAGGCGCACTTTGTATTTTCCTACAACCATGTAGCACTGACAGCTTCCGCGCATGAGTGGGTTCTAACTTTCATTGTTCATTGGGTTTTATGCACTAGACCACACTCAACCGCTGAAGCCGATTCTATGGAAAATTACATAGAGCGCCCAGGCGCACTTTGTATTTTCCTACAACCAGGTAGCACTGACAGCCAGCCTCCGCGAACGAGCGGGTTCTAACTTTCATTGTTCATTGGGCTTTATGCACGAGACCACACTCAACCGATGAAGCCGATTCTCTGGGAAATTACATAGAGCGCCCAGGCGCACTTTGTATTTTCCTACAACCACGTAGCACTGCAGCCTCCGCGAATGAGTGGGTTCTAACTTTCATTGTTCATTGGGTTTTTTTGCACTAGACCACACTCAACCGCTGAAGCCGATTCTATGGAAAATTACATAGAGCGCCCAGGCGCACTTTGTATTTTCCTACAACCACGTAGCACTGACAGCTTCCGCGAATGAGTGGGTTCTAACTTTCATTGTTCATTGGGTATTATGCACTAGAGATCACACTCAACCGCTGAAGCCGATTCTATGGCAAATTACATAGAGCGCCCAGGCGCACTTTGTATTTTCCTACAGCCACGTAGCACTGACAGCCTCCGCGAATGAGTGGGTTCTAACTTTCATTGTTCATTGGGCTTTATGCACTAGACCTCACTCAACCGCTGAAGCCGATTCTCCGGAAAATTACATAGAGCGCCCAGGCGCACCTTGTATTTCCTTACAACCACGTAGCACTGCAGCCTCCGCGAATGAGTGGGTTCTAACTTTCAGTGTTCATTAGGTATTGCGCACTAGAGACCACACTCAACCGCTGAAGCCGATTCTATGGAAAATTACATAGAGCGCCCAGGCGCACTTTGTATTTTCATACAACCACATAGCAATGCAACCTCACAACATAGTGGACCCTAATTTTGAATGGATTACACCAAACCGCCGAGCCCAACCTGCGGAGAACTACATAGAGCGCCTAGGCGCACCTCGTATCTTCATACAACCCATGCAGAATTGCGGCCTCCACAAACTATTCGATTGCAACTTGCATTGGCCATTATGCAACTATGCAGACTATGCACCAGAATATACACCCGACCGCTGAAGCCGATGCTATGGAAAATCACATACAGCGCCCAGGCGCACTTTGTGTTTTCATACAAACACGTAGCACTGATTACCCCACAGCTCCTGCCGCAACTTCTCTGCGATGGCCTGGATCAGGAAACGCTTGTCTGGAAGAGGAAGCCGGCGCAAGAGCTCCTTCCACTTTGAAGCCAACGTCTCGTCGGAAACCGCCGCCACGCAGCTATCCGGAGTCCTGCACAAACAAAAACCGAAACACCGAAATATAACAGCCTAGGGTCCTTTCAACGTCCTTTCGATCCCCAGCCCGTGGCCCAACCATCCGCCTTTCATTATATGAATATGAATTATATAAAAGGATTATATTAAAGTAGTCTTCCGGCCCACCCCCAGCCAACTTCCTTTAAAGTAAAGTCTTCCAGTCTTCCTCTCGCTACTGAATTGAAAACCGCGTCCTGACCGTGTCTATCATCTCGATCAAGTCCGTCAGCATCTGGCTCTGAGTGGAGAGCGTCGCTGCATCATCAGCCTGCCCGTCAATCTTGGACAGCTCCTGCGCAAGGTTCAGGCCTTTCATCGCCTTGTTGCGGGCATCCGCTGGCCTGCACCCTGGGGTGCCTTTGAACAATCCCTCTGCCGTCACCGCACGGAGCTGCTGCAAAGTTGGCTCGAGGAGGTCGATCTTCTTCTGCACGGCGTCTCCCCCTTCTGACTTAGCAGGGTTTCGAGCTCCCTGGCTGGATGACTGAGACTTTGTCCAGACTCGCTTGGCGGGAGGAAGCTGCATACCACGCGGCTTTGCCTGTCCAAACCAATGCCAACCAACAGAAGGTAAACCTCAAAGTGCATTGCATCAAACCCTGAAATCACAAGTCGAATCCAGAAACTTTAGCCCTGACCTGAACAGAACAGTGAGCCCACTACCGCAACTGAGCTTCTCGAGGGTAGCAAAATACCCTTGCAATGCCTGCGACGTGTCATCCTCCTGGGAAACCACGGATGGGGCCGTGGAGCCGCACGAAAGGCGCCGCTTGGGCAACACCTTTGGCTTGCCCTTGCTTGCTTTCGTACGCAGGCCAGAGGAGCTAGAACTGGAGCCTCCGTCGTTGTCGTGGGATTCATCTCCACTGCTGTGCTCTTGCACATCCTCCAGCTCCTCACATATCACATCACATCTACGACGCTAGGAGTCTAGGATGCCCGAAAGTTTTCCCCCAACCACTGCCGCAACTTGTTCTCCTGGCTTTCCATGTTGCATGCGACGGAAGCGGCAGACTTCTCTGCCATCGCATCCAGCTCTTCGCGGTTTGCAGCTTCCTTCTCTTGGATCTTCGAATGACTCAACCTCCGACCCATTCGAACGGCCTTCACGTCGTCTCCTTCGTCAGCGAACACCACGCCTAGACGGCCCGCGTCGTCGGGCTGGACTTCCAACTTCAAAGTTTTTTCCACGTACCGTCGTTGCTGAGCTGTGGCTTTCATCTTGGCCAAGACACCCCTTTCCTCGCATATCTTGGAAAGGGATTTCCACTTCCCAGTCTTAGCTTTTGCAGCAGACAGCAAACCCCGTGGCACACGCAAAGACTCCTAAATTCTGGCTGACTGTACATCTACAGACTACTACTCGATTATAATGGCATTGGACATTGTGCACTAGACCACACCCAACCGCTGAAGCCGACTCTATGGAAATTTACATAGAGCGCCCAGGCGCACTTTGTAATTTCTTACAGCCGTGCAGACTTGAAGCCTCCACACACTACCCGATTACAACTTGCACTGGACATTGTGCTACTACGCAATAGACTACACCCAAGGGCTGAAGTCTTTTCTATATGGAGAGTTCACTGTGTATATTGTCGTACAGTTAGTTTCCCAACCACGTAGTTGCAGCCTCGACAGACTATATTGCTCGATTACAACTTGCATTGGACATTGTGCACTATAGCCTACAACCGCTGTTATACGGAAATTACATACAGCTCCGAGAGGCGCACGTTTTATTTTCATACAACCACCTAGCACTGCGCAAATTAATGGGGCGGTCTATCAAAGGGGAAAAGGAGGGACCTTTAATGGGGACCCCTACCCTATAATGGGGCTATATAATGGGTATATAATAGCTATATTAAGGGTATATACCTAGGGGTCCTTATTAAGGGTCCCTCCTTTTCCCCTTTGAGTCTAACTTTCATTGTTCATTGGGTTTTATGCACTAGACTAGACCACACTCAACCGCTGAAGTCGATTCTATGGAAAATTACATAGGGCGCCCAGGCAAACTTTGCATTTTGATACAACCACGTAGCATTGCAGCCTCCGCAACATAGTGGGCTCTAACTAATTTTCATTGGATTATGCTACACCCAACCGCCGTAGCCGTTTCTATACGGCGCACATTGTCACATTGTGTTTTCATACAACCCATGCAGACTTGCAGCCTCCACAAACTTTTCGATTACAACTTGCATTGGACATTTTGCAACTATGCATGCATCAGACTACACTACAACTACACCCAAGCACTGAAGCCGGTTCTATGGCTTCCATGGTTCTACGGAGAAATACAAACCATGCCCAGCAACGTTGCATTCTCCCATGGTAAATACGGCAGCCTTGTCCCCAAACTCACTTGATTTCCTGATGGACCCTCACAACTCCTGGTCGACCCTCAATACAATGCAGAACCTCTGAGCGGGCTCAGAATTGCCACCAAGGCCCTGACCTGAGCAATTTCAAGAAAGCTCTCATCCTTCTTCTCAAACTTCTTCATATCCACCATCTCGTGCCGCTGCCGGCGATTTGGGTACATAAGGCGTGCCCTCAAAGCCGTACGGCGGAGGCCTTTCATCCTCAGACGAGGGTGAGATTTGACATGGTGCAATGGTGCACTGCTTGGCCGAGCACGCATGACTAAGGTAAGCCTGGCAACTTGCGTTTCAGCGGTGAGTTCTCACGGCGTTTCCTCGCCAATTCACCCAGCCCCACCTTTTTGAAGCTGCCACGTGCGTTATACACGCACTGCATGCACGTGTTCGCCCCTGCCCGAACAGGTTTCACCAACTCTTCTGGGCCATCATAATCCTCGGGTGTATCCTGCAATCCGGGTGCATGTTGCATGAGCGAGCTTTCAACACACTTCGAAACACTACAAGCTTGCACGATGTCCTCATCGACAGAGCCGAACTTTTGGTCGCACATCTGGCAGCAATCATGGCCTGTGCAGGTGTCGGGGGTGTCGGGGCCATCCGCCATGGCCTCCTGACGCTCCTACCTCCTACGGTCCTATCCTATCTGCTTGTAGGCTTCTTCAACTTCGGAGCAGCTGCTGGATTGTGTCAAGGATGCAGCAGGAAGCAGCAACGCAACCCCCAGGCACAACACGAACACTGGCATGACAT